CCGGCGGTGGCGGCGGCGGCGGCGGCGGCGGCGGCGGCGGCGGCGGTGGCGGTGTCGGTGGCGGTGGCGGCGGCGGCGTCGGCGGCGGCGGCGGTGGCGCCGGTTACGGGGGCGGGCCGCAGGAGCGCGTTCACCAGGCTCCGCGATCGGTCCAGCCCGATCCGCCGAAGTGTCCCTATGAGACCTACCAGGCGCAAATCCCGGACTGCTGCGCGGCCGCGGTAGCGGCGCAAGACCCGTACCCACGGCCGCCCAGCGGCTACGACACCAGGTGTTACGACGAGTGCCATCGCAGGACACCGTACCAGGAGGAGCCCTATACTCAGGTATGGATCTTGTTGTATTATAATGATACCCGGTGACGTTCATGATCCTTTGTGACTTTATGTGCGACTTAAAGCCCGTGTCATACTATACGCATTGGAGATCGAGAATTGCAAATACAGAAAATTCGAATAGTTAAATTATTTTAATTTTAATCCTAATTTCAATTTAATTGGTTAAATTCTGATACAAGTATAGTTTGATACGGGCTTCGCCGATTTTGTTCTCTCATTCTTCGCGAAATGCAAAATTGCGTCAAAGACGTAAAAATCGTAAGTAATCGTATACGAAGTAAGAGTATACGAAGCGAGTAATGTAACGAAGGGACAGAGTCTTCTTAAATATTGTAGAGAAATTCGATCGTTGAATGCGAATGCGCCGGACAAGGTTGTTGCATTCGATCGTACGCGAGAGCGTATCGAATGCGGTGTAACGAAAAAACTTTTTACAACCAGTATACAACAGATTGATTTGTGTTACCAGTATTGGCATTACTAGTTCCCGATTGCCTCAAAAAATTCGAACAATACTGCCTTTTCATTCGGAATTACATTACAGTTGTATTACTATGTTCTTGTGTACCCATCTAGTTACATATGAACAAATGGGAAGTTTTAATGGAATAATCAGATAAAATTTAACTTTTGGTAGCAGCTTTGAAACATATTTACGCAGCACAAACGAATACGTCCCATTCATACATTTTATTTGTGCACCTCCACGTATAAATAAAATGCCTTTTCGTAAAAATATTCAGCCAGCACTAGAGCCCGATTTTAACGTCGCCATAAGCTAAAATTAATGTTGTATAATTTATCGTAATGCGATTAATATCAGTTATTCGCGTCGAACTTCGGTGATACAGTGCGCCACTGTGCAAATCGATGTCGATTAAATTTGATATCACCTCCAGGTGTGGATATTACACGATAATTATCCAATAGAATCGAACGAGTTCGCCCGTTTTATAATGTAGTCGCCTCGAGTCTGCTATTTATGATTATCGAATGGCGAAAATTGAATTTGCTGCTTCCAGGGAAATAGGAGCTTAGTTAGCGTGGAAAGGGCGGACCTTAAGATCGCCCATGATTCAGCGAACTGAAACGATCGCTATCGATAATACGAATCGCGAGAGCGCTTTTCATGCATAATAATGTGCCCCGTCTCTCTTCTGATATTAAAGATGTAAGAATAATTATTTATGAGAAGCAATCCCCAAGTCGCTGCACAAAAGAGACAAAAAGAATCGTCGCTTTTTCACGAAAATGTAAAATATGATCGCCACCAAAAATTATTAATGTAAATTTGTTACTTTTACAAAAATCGACAAAAAAATAAAATAATAAAATAAAATGAGATAATATCGATAATAAGATAATAAGATATTTTTTTTTTTATAAAAAGGCGTTCGATAAAAGAATATTATGGTTTCAAAAGAATACGCCTCTAAATATTCCGCCCACACTTTCTGAATACTCTGAATATTACGTCACAATGCGACCAGACAAACAATTGCAATTAGAACTTTTCGGGCGAAACGTGTAAAGCAGGAAAAGAACCCTCGCGAAATACTTTGAAATCAAAGTTTAATGCAACGTCGTCGTTAAAAGCGTCACATCGCTAATCGCGGCTTATTTTTTTTTCTGCCCCATTAACTCGACGGTTTTTATTTAATATGGTGGCTCGTAGAAAAAGAGGAGATAGAGAAAAGCCTCGGATATTTTTCCGGACAGTCTCGTCAACGATATAGAGGGCCCCTAATAGCCGCGTGCGTGTGTCACGAGTTTCGCATCTCTCGACTAGAATCCCGCTTTAACTTCGCCGCGGGAATCTTCGAAGAGCTATTACGGCTTTTCGGTATCCGAAAATTGATTCGGCTCGGCGCGCCTCAGCCCTCCAAGTTTCGCCGTACGAGCTGCATTAGTACGGACTATCGATTCGACGGAGGCCGTACCCGTCGCGAGATCGCGTCCCGCAGAATTCGCGAGAACGACGACAAATCGGAGGATAAGACCGACCGTTATTGGATGGAATTAATTACCAAAATGAGACATGGATGGTGTCAATATTTTTGCTTCCTATCACCGAGTATTTTTTTACCGTCGATGATTATAATCGAACGTCAAAATAGCTGAGGGACAGAAGATCGGCGCGATCGAAACGTTGAATAAAAGATTGCACCAAGATCGCGTTGATTTCCATCGTTTGAATTTGATTGTTCAGCAGGTTTTCGCCTCCAGGGTGTATCACAGCGCAGCCGCAATATCAATATTTATGTACGAGGAAGTATCGAGTATGTATATAGAAAATGCCGATACTTGCGGTATTTGATACCAAAAAAAAAGTAAAAGTATCAATATCCTATTAAATTTCAACATCGCTAGCCGCGAGCGACGTCGCCCGCGGAGCCAATTTCGCAAATGCATAACACGTACCTATACAAAGCGATCACGTGCCGATCATCTGTCCACCCCCCTCGATATTTTCTACGGAACGATATCGCCGCAGGTGGCATCTCAAACGTGCACTTTCTCTATTTAATCACGCCGCCGCACTATTTTTCCTCTTCTGGCTGGAAAAGAACTTATTGAAATAAAAATAACGGGAGAAATCCTAAAGAAAAAAAAACGAGAAAAGAGCAACTCAATTAAAGAGTACTTTTCCAAGAGCTATCTTGTTCATTGTCTTGTTTATTACATGACGTAGCGGCTTCTCTCAATTAATCCCTGTCGGAATAAGGAATCGTGTGCGCAACGTGCACGTTATTGCGTTAGGTACACGTCACGCGGTGGCTTGATCGAGTTTACAAAGCTCCGGAAGGAAGTGGCGAATCTCTTCAGAAACCGGCAAACTATCGATCGTATATATACGTATGCCGCTCGAGCGCGCGTTATCCCGCGCGCTCGTGAAAATCGTGAAGCAGGGTGCCAACTGTGGCACCCCCGCTGCAGTCTCCATCGTTTCGGAATCATATACGACCGTATACGCGATGACGACCGGGAACGTTCGTACGGGGCGGAATTTCAGGTTCCTGCAGCGCCCGCGTATACGGTTTCGGACTCGCAAAGCCCGTACATACGTTCCGGTTATTTTAGCGATATCGATACTTTACTGTTACGGGAAGCCGTATCGGTGTGCCGGGTGTAAAGATAGCAGGGCGATAGAAAGCTGCTCGATTCGCGGGCTGGCGGCCGTCTCGTGTCCGCCGCCGCCGCCGCCGCCGTCCATATCGAACGACGATGCGGCAACGTACCACGGAATATGGTAGGCCATAAGCCATCGAGTACCGCCGGCGCGCAATCGTGGTAACTGCGAATGTACCGAGGGAATGAACAAGAGATAAACACGACGAATAAAGTCCCTTCCATTTTTTTCGCAATTTTTTTCCCTTACATACACACACACCGCGATCCACGCAATCCATGACAAGTGTCTGCGTCAAGAATACTTGAAATGACAATACGCATTTGCGTAAAGACCTAACTGCAATGCTTGCAATTTTGGAGATCTAAACTTGTTCTTCATTTGAGTTGAAAGGAATTGTTAATACGTTTATTCATAAATTTATTTTTTGGATTGGATTTACAAACGACTTTCGACAATCAGTTAAGCGATATACAAAAAAATGCGGAGTATCCCACGATCACTGTATAATATTTTAATTTTTAATAGCGTATTAATTATTATCAGTATCATCATATTATAATTATTATATCAATTAGAGACAGTCAGAGTTGTCAAACTTCACGGAAATTAAATATGCGGAAATTTTAATATGTAAATGTCCCGAAACAATCAGAACGAAGGAAGAAATTGATAAAACAAAGTCCGATAATTATTATTTACACATTACATATTATTATATGTATGTAATATTTGCAATGTTACTTGAATTGCTAAAATCGATAGGAGATTACAGATTGCAAAAGCGGATCCAGATCGAGAAAATACAAATGAAACATTGATCTCAATTTGTGCAAGCGTACAGCAAATCATTAGCCAACTGTGAGCGGTTATATTATAACTCGAAAATTACTGCCTCGACATTTTCATAAGTAAACTTTCAACTCAAATTAATCTTCAAAATACGCTATTAAAGTATCACGTAGCGTATTGCAAATTATCATATTATCGTTGATATATTTCATATAACACATTTTCGTGTTATAGATTGTTATTGCGAATCGATGCAATTCGTAACATACATACTCCTTGTTGCGTAAATAAGGAAACTTGTGGGTGAACCGCAAGGCGGGTAATTCCGCGTATTATGGCGAAAAGATTTTATCCGCAGATGCGACTGGCACACTCTTATACACTCTCCTTACGCAATTGCAATTCCCACGCCAACGCATTCCCCCTTTGTGCCGCATTAAGACGATTCTTTCAAATTCTAAATGCCCCGCCGTACGTCTCGAATATTAAATTTCTTCATATTCCGGGAGATTCTTGGCATGTCTGGTTGGCGAACGGTATCTCGTTTGCGAAGACGGATTAATCAACCGAATTGCTTCCGAGAAATACATACAAATACAGCGGGAACGCAAGAATACTTCAGTTAGATAATCCATTTGAATTATATTACTCTATCATGTTTTAGTTGGAAATACTATAATCCTAATTAAACATACATAAATTAGTTTATAATCTATATTCTTAAAAAAGTATATATTTAAAAGCATATCTTTTAAAGTGCAGATGTTAGTATTCCTTCAACGTATACTCAATATTACGCAATATTTTATTCTTTATTTTTATTAATTTTTATCTCTCATGTAATATATTGACAATAGCTCGTGATATAAATAATTTGTTTTTTATCACAATTTAACTCGGTTTACAGGCCTTTTTCCCGGCAATGTTTCAATGTAAACAGTATTATTTTCGGATCATTTTCAGTCAGTATATTCCATACAGGAAAGCCAATTAAAGTTTCTATTCAATGTATAGAAGGTGCAAGCCATTTGTTTTAACTGATACAACAATATCGCAACTAACAGGCATAAAATTATATTTGAAATTCTCATTGTTCATCGTTTAATAAATCATATTTGTACGATTTCGAACATGAAAGTTTGCGAGTCACAGTGAAAAAATTACATGTATAAAAAGCGATAAATTTTGACAAAATATTATTTTTAATAAACATGTATAACATTTATACATTTATACATGTCTATTTAAAAATAATATTTTATCAAAATTTATCGCTAAAATATTCGAATTTAATACTAAATTTCTGTAGAACAAGTTTAGTTAAGGTTTCTGCAAAATTAGACATGCATGTCTCAAGTTAGAAAATGTCTGATATACCTATACGATTGATTTACCGTACATATTAAATCGTGAATAATTAAAAAATCGACACATTTCCGAAAAAAAGTTTATTACTAGAGTGATTTGAAATGAAAAAGAATCGCAATACTGTGCTCCAATTACTCGAGCTATCACCGAAGTTAGAACCGCAAATTTCTCGAAACGAAGGGTACTAAGTGATTTGTTGCAAGACAATCCTTCTTTTTCTTTCAGGATGTATCCGGAACATTCCACCGGTCCCAGTCTAGACTGGGCTACGAGGAACGTCCTCAGTCCCGGGTGGGATACGCCTCGGATTCCAGGTGCGCCAGCGGGCTCGGATACGACGACACCGGTGGGGGTTACCTGGATCAGAGTGACCCGAGAATGTATTGCACCGGCGGCTATTGCATGGGAGATACGATGATGGCGACGAGCAGAGGCGTATGCGGCGAGGAGGTCGAACTCGACATGCGGAGGCACATTCAGGCATGCGCCTGCACATGCAACCACATGGGCTACGGGAATTACATGGACTATCAGGTGAGTAAGGGATACATATATACATACGCTCGGCGAAAGATAATTAGCGCGGTTAATTCCACGGAAAAAAGAAATGGGATCACTCCGGTCGGAGATATACGCCCAAAACGTAATGATACACACTCGCCGAAGAATCACGCTCGTTATACCCGCGCCACAAACTGTGCGACGTGAAAACCGTGACATCCTGCGCTGCAGAAGCGCGGTTAGCTATTCGTATATGAAATTGTACCCACGGTTGATTAGTTTCCAACCGTGACGAGAGATCATCGCGGGAGAGGGGAGGGACCATTTCAAGCAATGACAATCACAATGGAAACCCCCGGGCTTTCTTATGAATTCAGCGTAATATCGCGCGTGTTATGCGAGGCGTGTATGCACGTTTGTAGTCGCGATGCGATATTGCGTCCTGTCGAGGACGTCTCGCGAAAGAGATCCCCGCAAATGTTTCATGATGAGAGGAAGAGAAAGAGAAAGAGAGAGGGGGGGGGAAGCTAGCCCTCATAAATATAGAGGAAAATGGTACATCCAGACGCGAAGTATAATGATGAGATCCTGGATTTTCCTGTCGTGAATGTCACAATATCATAACTACGCGCGGCCAGCGTCACCCGTGAGACTGAATATTTTCTCTGTTTCATCTCAAATTCCAAAATTGCGTATCTTCAAAAGCTTTAAAGCTGCAGCAAGACAGATATATCGCGCTAAAAAGGCTTTTTTTCTTCCGTCATGTACTCCGAGATGTGCAATTCTGATATCTAAAGAGCGAAACACTTTGTATGTATATAGCTATACTTTCTACCGTGTGAAGAAGCGAATATATAATTGTCATATTTTCCTCTGTGAAATATTCTAATACATTCCGCGTCACACGCCATAGCAGTGATCAGCTACGTTATTTGCTGACGCATCCAAGATTAATAAAAGATGACATTTGAGATGCAAATTGACTCTTTGAATTAATTCTTGGTAACGAGACGGACCTTCATAATCCTTTGTAATTTTAAGGGAATGCCATTTTATTATATATATATATATAATATATATATATATATACACATATATAATATATAATATATATATATATAT